TTTAAAATGCAAAGAATGGTAACTCTGTAAATCAGTGAGGTTCATAACAATCGTGCATTTACGAAATTTTAACGAGCACCTGCCTTGTGCCAGGTACTGAGGGTAAGGTGATGAATAAGCCCTCATCAACTCTCAGACTAGCTATTTACTCAACAGATGTGAAAATGCCAAGAAGGGAAAGTTGAGTAAAAAGAAAGCCTTAAGTTGGTTCAGAGAAATAAAATTGGATTTCTCAGATGTTTGTGGAAAGGTATGGCCTCATGAGGTAAACCTGTCATATGCAGTTAACATGCATTCCCAGTTAGTCTCAGATTGACCTCTGATGATGAACTTGGAGAGTCTTGGTGTGGGAGGGGTGAAATTGCCTGGAGACCATTTTCAGGAGGTATAGAGGAAGATCGTGGGCATAGGCCTGGGGACATCTCCTGTACTCCTCCTTTGAAATGGGCAGCAATTGAATTGTATTATATTTTATTTTAGATTTTTGTCTCAATTGAATGAATAGCAGAAACTGATGAAACCTCAAATTCACAATGTATTTTGAGACCAGGAGAATGGCTCAACTTATCCTAGTCACAGGAAAAATTCAGTCCTGTATTATAACTGGACTTTTCTCATAACTGCTTTTTTCTTTTTTCCATTCTTATACTTTACGTTTTGGGATACACGTGCAGAATGTGCAGATTTGTTACATAGGTATGCACATGCCATGGTTTGTTACACTCATCAACCTGTCATCTTTATTAGGTATTTCTCCTAAAGCTATCCCTCCCCTAGCCTCCCATCCCCCAACAGGCCCTGGTGTGTGATGTTCCCTTCCCTGTGTCCATGTGTTCTTATTGATCAACTCCCACTTACAAACGAGAACATGTGGTGTTTGGTTTTTCTGTTCTTGTGTTAGTTTGCTGAGAATGCCCATATTCAGCTTCATCCATGTTCCTGCAAAGAATATGAACTCATCCTTTTTTATGGCTGCATAGTATTCCATGGGGTATATGTGCCACAGTTTCTTTATCCACTCTGTCATTGGGCACTTGGGTTGGTTCCAAGTCTTTGCTATTGTGAATAGTGCCACAAGAAACATATTTGTGCATGTGTCTTTATATAACTTATAATCCTTTGGGTATATAATGGGATTCCTGGGTCAAATGGTATTTCTGGTTCTAGATCTTTGAGGAATTGCCACACTGTCTTCCACAATGGTTGAACTAATTTACATCCCTACCAACGGCATAAATGCATTCCTGTTTCTCCACATCCTCTCCAGCATCTGTTGTTTCCTGACTGTTTAATGATTGCCATTCTAACTGGTGTGAAATGGTATCATTGTGGTTTTGATTGGCATTTTTCTAAAGACCAGTGATCTTTTTTTCATGTTTGTTAGCAGTATAAATGTCGTCTTTGAGAAGTGTCTGTTTATATCCTTCATCCATTTTTTTGATGGGGTGGTTTTTTTCTTGTAAATATAAGTTTCTGTAGATTCTAGATATTAGCCCCTTGTCATATGGATAGATTGCAAAAATTTTCTCCCTTTCTGTAGGTTGCCTGTTCACTCAGTTTATTTTGCTGTGCAGATGCTCTTTAATTAGATCCCATTTGTCAATTTTGGCTTTTGTTGCCAGTGCTTTTGGTGTTCTAGTCATGAAGTCCTTGCCTATGCCTATGTCCTGAATAGTATTGCTTAGGTTTTCTTCTAGGGTTTTTATGGTTTTAGGTCTTAGGTCTTACATTTAAGTCTTTATTTCATCTTGAGTTAATTTTTGCATAAGGTGTAAGGAAGTGATCCAGTTTCTGCTTTCTGCATACGGCTGGCCAGTTTTCCCAACACTATTTATTAAATAAGGAATTCTTTCCCTATTGCTTGTTTTTGTCAGGTTTGTCTAAGATCAGATGGTTGTAGATGTGTGGTATTATTTCTGAGGCCTTTCTTCTGTTCCATTGGTCTATATATCTGTTTTGGCACCAGTACCATGCTGTTTTGGTTACCGAAGCCTTGTAGTATAGTGTGATGCCTCCAGCTTTGTGCCTTTTGTTTAGGATTGTCCTGGCTATACAGGCTCTCTTTTGGTTACATATGAAATTGTTTTTTCATAGACACCTATAGAACGCTCCACCCCAAATCAACAGAATATACATTCTTATCACCACATCACACCTATTTTAAAATTGATCATGTAATTGGAAGTAACACTCCTCAGAAAATGGAAAAGAACAGAAATAAATCTCTCAGACCACAATGCAATCAAATTAGAAATAAAGATTAAGAAACTCAAAACTGCACAACTACATGGAAGCTGAACAACCTGCTTCTGAATAACTACTGGGTAAATAACAAAATTAAGGTAGAAATAAATAAGTTATTTGAAACCAATGAGAACAAAGACAGTGTACCAGAATCTCTGGGACACAGCTACAGCAGTGTTTAGAGGGAAATTGATAACACTAAATGCCCACAGGAGACAGCTGGAGCTGAATGTCACATTATCAGCTCCAAACTTGAACTGGTCTGAAAGCACTCAGTTAATGTTGGAAAGATGGTGCCATTTAAAGATATCTTAAATTCAGTATTTCATTATCTTAACTTGGTATTCTAGGGTTGAATGGTGTTTACTTACTGTATGCTGTCCATTAGAAAATCTAGATTTTACGCCACCTTTGTGCAAGGTGATTGCTCTGGCTAATACCAACTTGTTCACTCTTGGAGGAAGAAATATTACTGTTCAGCTGCACTTAGTGGTTATTTTGCGTAATACTGGTGTTCCAAAGAGCATGGAAATGGGGACTACACAGCTGTGTTCTTAGGTTCAGAAACCATAGGAATTGGATGGGAGAAGCTTCAGGATTCAAGTCCGGTTGTTGTGATGGCCAGAGGAGAAAGCCTGTGAATTTGAAATCACATTCATTGAAAAGAAAATCCTTCCACATTTTAATAATTCTCTATGTGCCCCATGGCAGCAAGTACTCACAGGCCTTCCTACTCAAAGCTTAATAAAAAGACAGACCTGCTGAATCAGAATCTGCATCTTAACAATATCTCCAGATAACTGTCTGTACTTTCAGGTCTAGGAAGCAATGTCCAAAGAGAATCTTTTTAGTCTTGAGGCTTCTGTCTTGCACTCTCCTTTTTAAAAATGTGGTGCTCTGGCTGGGCGTGGTGGTTCACATCTCATCCCAGAACTTCGGGAGGCCGACGTGGAAGGAACACCTGAGGTCAAGAGTTGAACAGCCTGGCCAATGTGGTGAAACCCCGTCTCTACTAAACATACAAAAATTAGCTGCGCATGATGGCACATGCCTGTAATCCCAACTACTCGGGAGACTGAGGCAGGAGAGTCGCTAGAACCCAGGAGGTATAAGTTGCAGTGAGCCAAGGTCACACCACTGCACTCCAGTCTGGGCGTCCCAGTGAGACTCTCTCAAAAAAGAAAAGAAAAAATGATTCTCGTTCTCCACTTCAATCTCCTCACCTTCCTCCTCCTCTTCTTCCTTATGTCTGCCCTACCTCCCCTGAATACCCCATTTGTAGAAGAGTTCTCCTTTCTCTGAATTGCATTCTTCCCTCCATTTGTCTTGTCTATGCTTTCCTATTTTCTCTTGGTTTCCCCTATGCCTTACCTCATTTTTTTGCCACTGTTCACATGTCACTGCCCTTTCAGACCCATATCTAGCTTCAGACCTATCCATAGTAATTCATTGCCATTAATGTAGTCAACATGCCCATGGCATTTATTGATGTAAATATTTGCATATACTTGTTCTGTCATGCCCGTTTTTCTACCTTTTAAATTGTTTATATACAACACATGAGTGACATACTTCACTATTTAAAAGGTAGAAAAGGCTGGGCATGGTGGCTCACGCCTGTAATCCCAGCACTTTGGGAGGCCAAGACGGGTGAATCACGAGGTCAAGAGATCGAGACCATCCTGGTCAACATGGTGAAACCCCGTCTCTAAAAATACAAAAAATTAGCTGGGCATGGTGGCGCGTGCCTGTAACCCCAGCTACTCAGGAGGCTGAGGCAGGAGAATTGCCTGAACCCAGGAGGCAGAGGTTGCGGTGAGCCGAGATTGCGCCATTGCACTCCAGCCTGGGTAACAAGAGTGAAACTCCATCTCAAAAAAACAAAATAAAATGTAGAAAAATGTGTATCATGGTATAAAGAATGGCACACTGAGTATCTCTGCCCAGTTTCAAGATGAGAATAAGTGAGGCCACATGGCGGAGCCTCATGAGTCATGTCAGCTACCTGCTACTGTCTTTCATTCTATCTGCAGTACCGCCAACATTTGGTTAGTTCTCCAAATGCTCTCAGGTTGACAATGAGTTGGATCTGAACAACCTACCTGGGGAGACAAGGTATTGGTATCTTTGCTTAAATTGAGTCACTTATTGAGAGGTAAAGTGACGTCCTTAAGATCAGACAGCAAGTTACCAGGATTGTGACCTTTCCTGTTTTGTTTTCCCTCTGTCAGATGCTTTCTGGTCTCTATGAACCTCTCCTTCCATGTCTGATAAAAATGCAAAGTCTCAGGAAGCCTCAGACTGTTTGGGGAGAAAGGTCCTCTGGGCAGAAAGGTTAATTTATCTTGCTGTAAAACAAAACAAGTTCCCTCCAAAAGGTGCAAAGGTCATATGGCATTAACACAGTAGGAGCTTACTAAATATTACCAAATACAAGAATGAATATAGTTAAGTAAATGTAATACAAAGTCAAATGCCGTTGGTGCCAGAAGCCAGGAAGAAGTTCTTGTGAAAATAGGTGAAGAGAAGAGCTAGGTCCTGGCTGAGTTTAAATTAGACTTAGTCGCTGTGGGACTGTGGGGGAATTACTCCATGGATTGATGGCTGGGTCATGGAGATACAGGTACTATGAAAAGTAAATGGAATATTTTGCATACCTGTTTAACAAGTACCGTTTACAATGCTAGGTGCTATCAACTTTTAAATTAACTTTGCCATGTTTTGTGTCTGCCCCTCTCTGTGCTTCCTTCCTTCAGTATGAGCCGCACAGCTTACACGGTGGGAGCCCTGCTTCTCCTCTTGGGGACCCTGCTGCCTGCTGCTGAAGGGAAAAAGAAAGGGTCCCAAGGTGCCATTCCCCCGCCAGACAAGGCCCAGCACAATGACTCAGAGCAGACTCAGTCGCCCCAGCAGCCAGGCTCCAGGAACCGGGGGCGGGGCCAAGGGCGGGGCACTGCCGTGCCCGGGGAGGAGGTGCTGGAGTCCAGCCAAGAGGCCCTGCATGTGACGGAGCGCAAATACCTGAAGCGAGACTGGTGCAAAACCCAGCCACTTAAGCAGACCATCCACGAGGAAGGGTGCAATAGTCGCACCATCATCAACCGCTTCTGTTACGGCCAATGCAACTCCTTCTACATCCCCAGGCACATCCGGAAGGAGGAAGGCTCCTTTCAGTCCTGCTCTTTCTGCAAGCCCAAGAAATTCACTACCATGATGGTCACACTCAACTGCCCTGAACTACAGCCACCTACCAAGAAGAAGAGAGTCACACGTGTGAAGCAGTGTCGTTGCATATCCATCGATTTGGATTAAGCCAAATGCAGGTGTGCACCCAGCCTGTCCTAGGTATGCAGCCCCAGGAAGACCTAGACCTAAAACCACCAGATTCTTACTTGGCTTAAACCTAGAGGCCGGAAGAACCCCCAGCTGCCTCCTGGCAGGAGCCTGCTTCTGCGTAGTTTGTGTGTGCATGAGTGTGGATGGTGCCTGTGGGTGCTTTTAGAGGAAACAGTCTCTGGTAGAGAGCACTTCCTATTTTGTAAACGTATCTGCTTTAATGGGGATGGTACCAGAAGCCCACATTAACCTGCTCACGTCTAAAGGGGCGGGGCAGTGGTCTGGTTCTGCCTTTGTGTTCCTTGTGCCCTTCTGGGGACCAGAATCTCCCTTCAGAATGAATGTTCATGGAAGAGGCTATGCTGAGGGCAAGAGACCTGTTTTAGTGCTGCATTCGACATGAGAAGTCCTTTTAACCTGTGCTTGCATCCTCCCTTACTCCTCCCTCCCACAGTCCGTTCCTCAAGTTGTGACTGTCAGTCTAATCTTACTTTTTTTGAAAAAGCCTTGCTCTGTTGCCCAGGCTGGAGTGCAGTGGCATGATTTTAGCACACTGCAACCGCTGCCTCCTGGGTTCAAGCAGTTCTCCTGCCTCAGCCTCCCAAGTAGCTAGGATTACAGGCATGTGCCACCACATCCAGCTAATTTTCATTTTTGTAGAGATGGGGTTTTGCTGTGTTGGCCAGGCTGGTCTTGAACTCCTGACCTCAGGTGATCCACCTGCCTCAGCCTTCCAAATTGCTGGGATTCCAGGTGTGAACCACCATAGCTGGCCTATGTTAATTTAGAAACCTTGGCAAACATGAGATTAGACTAATTCACTTAACCATAATGTAAATGTTTTTCATTTGTGAAGACCCTCCAGACTCTAGGAGAGGCTGATGTGGGCAAGGGTAAGCAAAGGGAGGGTGGAGGGTGAGGCCAAATGAGGTCCAGCAAATGTCAGTAGGGAGATTGCAGAGGCTTGAAAGGCCAGTGCCAGAACAGTTAGGCCCATGCTTCTGAGAAAGTCTTTTCCTAGTATTTAACAGAACCCAAGTGAACAGAGAAGAAATGAGATTGCCAGAAAGTGATTAACTTTAGCTGTCACTGCAATCTGCTCAAACCTAACACCAAACTGAAAACAAATATTTTCAGACCCAAGCAAGTTAGCCAAGCCAAACTAACCCCTCTGCTTTGTCCCTCAGGTGGAAAAGAGGTAGTTGAGAACTCTCTGCATAGGGGTAAGAAACAAAACCCTCAGAGGCTGAAAGTCCTAATAACTCTGCTTTTTTGTGGTTATAATCAGCTAATTTCCAATTCAGTATTTCCCATAATGCTTCTGAGAGCCCTTAACCTGATTGACAAAGATTGTCTCTGCTGAGCTCTGCTGAGGGTACCTGACCATATTCTAAGATGAGAGAGTTTAGGGACTACTGCTTTAGCAAGATTTTTGGGGTCTTTTTGTTTTAACCATTGTCAGGAGATTGGGCTACAGAGAAGAGAAGGGAGAGTAAGGAAATAAAGGGAAGTGCCTCTGGCTAGAGAGTAGTTAGGTGTTAACACCTGGTAGAGACACAAGGGATATGACCGGCCTTCATTTGCTCTCTGAGGATCAGAGGAGGACCCTGCTAGGAGAGCACCGCGTCATGGTGTATTAGCTGTTCATCCATCTGCTATTGGTTGGACGAACATATGGTAACCATTCAGTGTCTCCTGGTAGGCACTGTCCTCTGATTAAACTTGGCCTACTGGCAATGCCTACTTATGATTTATGTAAAGGCCAAAGTGCAGGGTGGGTGAACCTTACTGCATTTTGAATTTGGTTAACCTGATTTCTTCAAGCTTGAGGTTTTATATGCAAACTTTCCGAATACTCTTTTTGCCTTTTATCTTCTCAGCCTCACTAGCCAAGTCCTATGTAATACGGAAAACAAGCACTGTAGACTTGGGATTCAGACTTGGATTCAGATGCCTATCAGGGCTCCAGCATTCAAAGAACCCTTGCAACTCAAGAAGCGTTTTTTTGTTTTGATCCAATGCTCTGCCATCTAGCAACTATAAACAGCCATTTCAAGGCAGGAGATATTTTAAATGCCCAAAATGTTGGGTCTGATTTTCAAACTTTTTAAACTCACTACTGATGATTCTCACACTAGGCGAATTTGTCCAAACACACTGTTTTGTATACACTGTATGACCGTGTCCCAAATCTTTGTATTATCCGCATTCTCCAACAATAAAGCACAGAATGGATTTAATTAAGCACACAAATGCTAAGGCAGAATTTCGAGGGTGGGAGAGGAAAAGGGAAAGGAAGCTGAAGATATAAGACCACACCAGAGAAGATAAATGACATTCAGAACCAGCAAACACCGAATTTCTCTTGTTTGAACTATGCCACAAGCCTGCAATTTTGTTAAGAGATGACTTAAGTTGGCAGCAGTCATCTTTTTTAGGAGCTTTTACCACTGTCTTGCATATAAATCCAGATTTGGCTCAAGTAAAGAGAAAATCCTCAAAACTAACTTCACTGGGATAATCAGCAGCATAACTACCATAAAAGCACATCACTAGCCAAAGAGGGAAATGATTGCTCTTACTGTGCCTATATTAAGACTAATACAAATATGGTGTGTCTTCCAACATTTATTGCAAATGCCGTATCTATAACATTTTATTGGAGTCATCGATGATGTAATGATACATACTTTTCATTATTATAGAATATTTTTATGGCAAGATATTTGCGATCTTGATTGTACCTATTAAAATAATGCCAAACACCAAATACGAATTTTATTATGTACACTGTGCTTGGCATTAAAAGAAAACACAATCTTGGAAGTCTGTAAGTTGTTTTTTGTTACTGTAGTTCTTCAAAGTTGAGTGTAAGTGAAAAATCTGGAGAGGATAATTTCCACTGTGTGGAATGTGAATAAACAAAAAGTTATGGTTATTTAATGTAATTATTCAAATCCTTTGATCACTGATTTCAAGCACGTTTTATTTTCCTCTATCACTGTCTTTGAGTTGGGCAAAGAAGAAGCTGGCACATTGTATGTTGTATGTTGTTGGAGTCTCTTATCTGGTCAGCGGGAAACAAAATCTTGACCGATCTGAACTGACGTGTGTTACTGAGTCAGTGCCTGAACCTTTAGTTTTTAAATTGAATGTTCTTTAAAGGGTAACATTTCTAAAGCAATATTAAGAAAATAACGTTTACTTTAAATGTTATTTTGGAAGACTTACGTGTGTATACAGACAAATAGCAGATACTGATGAATAGTTCACACAAAGTTTAAGGAGAAAATACATGAAAAGTGGATACACAAAACATTTGTTAGTGACCAGTTAATGCTTAAGAGTGAAAGTAGTTCTATTGACTTGTCATTCCTCGAGATAATATTTAATATCAATGGCATTATGTATTATGTCTGCTTTAGTCATTTAAAAACAGCAGAGAATTATATAGACTATGATTGAGGTACCTTGCTGTGTAGGAGAGGAGGAAAGGGGATTTGATAGTCTCCTAAAATGAATTTGGCTTCAAGTTTCATGAATCTATAACTAGAATTTAATTTTCACCCCAGTAATGTTCTATATAGCCTTTGCCAAAGAGCAACTAATAAATTAAACCTATTCTTTGTGTGTGTGAGCGTACATTTGTTTTAGCTGGTAGTGTTCCTAGGGCATGGGTGGAGCAGGGATACATTTATCATGGGAAGGGAGATGGAAAAGAACTAGAGCTCCTGTAATCTTCAGTGGAATTGATTCCTTTTGCCTAGGCCTTTCAGATCCTGTTTGATTTCCATAGGACACCTCAGATCGTGGCAAGGGAGAGCTGGTCTGCAATGGGAAGCATCAGCCTCTTCCCTAGAGCACAGCTAGAAAGAAGAGCTATAGAGTGTTATAAGGGAGCCCAGCAGATGGAAGGGCCATCACACAAATTACAATAACTTCATTTCAGAGTGGTCCAGGGGAAAAAATAGATTTCGGGCTCAGTAGAAGGAAAAGCTTCCTAATGATAGGGGTAACTGGCAATACCATGAGGTACCTTTAAAAGCTAGTGAACTCCCGTCCTTAGAAATATTAAACCATAGGCTTGATATCATTTAATAGTGATGCGAGGTATAGAGTAAGTCACTGCCCTTGATGTGCAATTGTGAATTTGTGGATTTCTGAGGTTTCTTTCTACTCAGATATGTAATACAAGATTTCGGTTAGGTATGGGTGCTCTCACGATAATGAAAACCCTAGCAACTATGTATGGAATGATTACAATAGACCCTGTGCGAAGGATTTTCTGTGAATTGCTTTTCACTCAATCTTGACGTTAGCTCATTGAGGGTAGGTACCGTTACCACTGCTAGAAAGCAGTGAACTTATATGGTCTTACTGTGATATTGGGCCCTTAAACACCATGCAAAACTCTGAACAACTTTTATCGGTTTGTTCTTCAAAGAACAGAACACAGCACCCTAAAAATAGATCTAACTAGATTGTTCGCATCTAATGATTAAGGCCACCCTGAGGTTATAGTTGCATCATCAGGAGCCCAAGATCCGAAGCATTCAGTCAAAGCCTCTTTGCCACCCCTCGTTTTGTTACGGCCGCCTTGGACTTGGAGGCGGATAGTGGAAGCAAGTACCAAGGAGACAGTGTTCTCAAAAGCCACACCCAAGGTAAAACATCTGAACATAGGCCTGAATAGGTCAGTGGGACTTGACACGGAAGAGCATTTAAAACTGAAGAGAAGTGTGTAGGATGATGTTGGCAACAATGCTAAGGATCCCCCAGAAGTCTCTCTGTAACACCAATAGAATCTGGCAAAAGATGCAACTTTTTATAGCTCTGAAAATTAACTGAAGACTTGCAGGAATTTGCAGAGCATTCATTCAAGGAAAGACTAAATCTCTAAGAACAGTGGGCACTATGATACTGTAATTTGCACTATTCTCATCTCCCCCTCTTCAGCTCCACAATAGTTTTGAAATCAAATGCTGGTAAAAACCAGCAGTCTGGCAGCCACTGGAGATGGCAGAATGGAGTTCTTCCAAAGTTGCATTCCTAGACAATCGTCGTTATTTGACCTGTTTGGCAGGCCCTGGAAGCTCCAAATTGCAAGGCTATCTTTATTTGACCTGATTGGAAGCTTCCCGGCATGAAAATTTTTGTCAAAACAATTGGAGGCAATCGATTATCTTTGTGGCTGCCTGGGGCATCTGTATGACAGATGGGGAAAGCAATTGGCTCAACAAAAAGCCTAAAAAAAGAAGCTGGAAAATGAGATTTTTCATAGGGGCTTTGAAATGCTCCACAGTGTTACTGGCAATCTGGACTGCCAAATGCATAAATAGGACTCCATACATGCCCAGGACTGTGCGCATGCTCAGGAAAGACCTGAGAAAGCCTTAAGCTCTCACTTGAGGCTGATCTTGAGGCTCTGCACAAGCAGTAAGTGAAGGGAAAACAGTTGTCAATTGCCTGGCCGAGTGAGTGTTGCATGTGCCTTAGCATTCACACAGAGCCCCTTGGCAAAAACTGGTTGAATTATTGGTTCTAAGTGTTTGAGGAAATCCCTGTACAACTATTAGATGACCACTAAGCTAACCAAGCAAAGACTTTAGTGTCCACACACAATGAAAAATACAGACTACAGAATTAGTTCAGAAAAGTTATTAAACAACAACAAACCCTGGGGAAATGACAGTGTGATCAAACCATGCAGGGCCCTGCCTGCATGTGGGAATTCTCATCCAAGTCACACTTTCTAACCGTCATAAAATCCCTAAGCCAGACTCCCTTCCTGTTCTCTCAAGTCATTTTCAGACCACGTTAGGAGACGTGAGCTGCTCTCCCCCAAAAGCCTCATGTGAGTAATAAATGTTTCATACTCTCTTGGGGGGTATATGACATCATCAATCTCAGCATCTAAACCAAATTTTGGTGAGGTTTCATCTTGTTTACAAAACATATGCCAGGCTGGGCACAGTGGTTCATACCCATAATCCCAACACTTTGGGAAGTTGAGGCAGGAGGATCATGTGAGCTCAAGAGTTTGAGACTAACCTGGACAACATAGTGAGACCTTGTCTCTACTAAAATTTTGAAGAATTAGCCAGATGTGGTGACATGCACCTATCATCCCAGCTACTTGGGAGGCTGAGGCAGGATCAATTGAGTCCAGAAAGTTGTACCACTGCACTCTAGCCTACATGACAGAGTGAGTCTCTGTCTCAAAACCAAAACGAAACAAGTAGAGCTTTCCTTGTACAGCAACTAACAGGATATCTGCTGTCACTATTTTTATTCAATATTGTTCTGGAGGTTCTAGCTAGGGCAATTAGGCAAAAAAAAAAGTCATCCAGATTAGAAAAGAAACAAAATGATTTCCATTTTCAGATGATATAGTATCGCATGTAAAAATCCTAAGGCTACAAAAGAACTGCTACCTTACAAATAATTTTTGTAAGGCAAACACCCTTGTAATTACCATTAGGTGAATAAGTTTTTCCATGCATCACAGAAACTCTCCTATACCCCACCTCAATTTTAACCTTTTCCTGTACAATTGTAGTTATGCTTCTCCTAAAATTTAAAGTAATTACCTCCTTGTATATATTTATAGTTTTATCACCTAAACTCAACACCTTAGTCTGGCTGTAAACAGTTTAAATGGGAAAAGATAAAGGCTTGAATTAAGGCAAACCTAAACCTTTTTGTATAATCTCGATAGTGGTTACCACCTAGGGCATTACACACATTTGCTTCTTCCTCTGGCACCAACAAATTTACTGAGCAGAAATTTATAATTGGATAATCAGACAGGTGACATCAGCAAGATGTTGTATTAGAAAATGATGGACTCTTCAATCCACAAACACACCTATTCTGCAAAAGTTCATGGCTAAACTCCTTTGTGAGGAATCTAGAAACTAAAAGGATCCTGCACTCCAAGGAAACGCAAAAGCCAGACTCACCGAAGCTGGTAGTGAGATTTGAGACAAGACCTTGTCCGAATCTCTAACCATAGCACAGTGCCACATAGTCAGCAAGGGACTCCCTAGCACTCAGTTTCTCCCAGGTGAGAAGAGTTGGTTCACATATCTAGTACCTCCAACTTTTCTGAGGGGATTCCCCACAGGACTGGCTTCTATGGTGTCAGTCTTGGAGCTCTGACAGAATTGCTACAATCTAGCCACCTCACAAGGACAGAGACAGAGGTTGAGACCTGGCACCCTGGCCTCTACTGCCTCACCTCCCTCCTGGCTCAGCACAGAGGACAAAAATCATGGCTGTCTGCTTTTCCCTGGAGAAGGAATGATTTGTTAAAAAGTCCCCAAATCTCTGGGCAGTCTTATTGGTGGGAGTCTTCTCCTCTGAGGCCCACCAGTGAAGACTGGGACAGGTGGCTGCCTTGTCTAACGTGCAGACACCAACATGGAGTTAAGGAAAATGAAGAATCACACAAAAATATTCCAAACCAAAGAACAAGATAAATCTCTGGAAATTGAGCTAATAAAGTTATGTGATTTATCTGACAGAGTTCAGAATAGCTCTTGTAAAGTTTCTCACCAGAGTCAAGAGAACAATACATGAAAAATGAAGAATTTTCAAAGAGTATATTTAAAAGTACCAAAAAGAAATGGAGTCGAAGAACACAATAACTAAAGTGAAAAAGTTTACTACAAGACATCAACAGAAGACTAGGTTAATCAGAAAAAAGAATCAATGAACTTGAAGACAGATCATTGGAAATAATTCAGTTAGAGGTAAAATTAAAATGAAAAAGTGAAAAAAGCCCAAAGGTCTTATAGGACCCCATTATTGTATAGGCTGAACAATATACTTATTGGCATCATGGAAGAAAAGTGAGAAAAGAACTGAGAACTTATTCAAAGAAATAATGGCTGAAAACTTCCCAAATGTGAAGAAAGCGAACATTCTGATCCAAGAAGCCCAAAGTCATGAAAGTGATCCCAAAGCCTACAAGATTATAATTTGTCCTCCTAGAGGAAGAAAAAATCCTTTCTCCCAGTGTCCGTATTCAAATCCTAGGGAAATTTCTTATGAACTTGGCTTGAGTTTCAAGTCCATTTCTAAAGCCACTCAACGGTAACCAAATGGAACGAGCTTTCTGATTTGCCAATGTGGTCTCATGTTACCCTGATGCCTAGAAAGGAAGCAGGAGATGTAAGGCATGGTGATAGGAAGACTGCTGGATGGCACCACATGGTGTGGGGGAAAGTAGTTTAAAAAAAATAAATTTGTAAGAGATGCAAGGAGTCAAAGATAATAAATATCTGCTTAAAAGCCTTTACCATATTTAATTTTTCTCATCCACTATATTGTGTAGTAATAAACTTCTATACTTAAGGGGTTAGTATTGACATGTTTAAAATGAATGGTCTGGAAGGCAAGGAAGCTCATTTCAACAGACTCCTACTACATTGTTTAATGACAAGGGGAACAGAACAGAGAAAGTGATTTCAGCCATAAATATAGGAGATAATAAAATCCTTTAGTGAACATTAGTATCTAAACCTTGTTTTTATAATATTGGGGAATAGAAATAGATCAAAGTACTATAGTCTTCAGTATACAGACCTTTTACTTTTTTCCCTCATTTCAAGTTTTAATCAAAG